AGCCATCCCAGAGGATCCGCAGCGGGACCGGGAGCGCCCCCGCCGCACCTGCAGCTGGTGTCCTGTACCCCAGTGTCCGTCCATCCGTCCATCATCCATCCATCCATCCATCCATCCATCATCCATCCATCCATCATCCATCCATCCATCCATCCATCCATCCATCCATCATCCATCCATCCATCATCCATCCATCATCCATCATCCATCCATCATCCATCCATCCCTCCATCCCCTCAGCCCCTCCGCCATCCCGGAGGGGATCATCCATCGCCTCGCAGCCCCCATTCCCTCCCTTCGGGGTTAAAAAAGATGAGGATGCCACGCAGGGGATGAGCTCCAGCTCCCAGGGCTCCAGGCGGGATGGATCCCCCCGGGATAACTTCTCCCATCTCACCCTCCGGGCACCGGCTTCCATCGGGATTCACAGCTGGGTTGGGAAGAGGTTTCGGGGGTGAAGACAGAGCGGGATTTTCCCGCTGGCAGAGCCCCCGGAGGCGGCTTCATTATCAGAGGAAATTACAGCGTCACACGGCCGGCAGAGGAGAATGCCCCCTCCAAAGTTCCTGAGATCAGCCCAATGGACCATGGAGACCTGGGGAAAAATCATTTAAGGAAGGGGAGGCGGGGGGGACAAAAACCCCGCCGGGCAGTTTCCCGTGTTTCTAAAAATAGCGCCAGCCCTGTCAGTGTTAATAGGACGGGCATAATTGCTGCCGCGCTTTGCAGGGCTGAGCGTGGCCTAATTGCTCGGCCGGAACGATCTAATCCGGGCTAGCGGAGCCCCGCAGGCAGGGCTGCCGCATCCAGCGGGAAATTGCCCCTGGAGCAGGCGATTAGAGGTGTTAATAGGCCGGCTTAAGGGGCCCGGCAGCGGCACCGGGAGGTTTTTAACTCAGAATTGGAATAGAACCGGCCCCAGGAAAAAAAACATCCCGGTTTAGGCCAGGCCGAGCGTTTTCCAGCCGAGGGATGCGGCAGAAGGAGCAATGGGGGCTGAAGTCACCTTGATGTTCATCGAGTCCTCCCCAGACCTGAGCCTTGGCTGTGGAGAACAGGGCAGAGGAGGGTTAGAAATTTCCAAGCTGGATTTCCCTCCGGTAGGAAGGAGAGACGCTCGCTGAGCATCTCTGCCCATCCAGGTTGTGGATGTAGCTTCAGCCCTGACTTCAGCAGATTCCCTCTTCCCCGATGGTCCCATCCCTCCCTGCCGCTGCTTCCCGGCTCCCGGGGTTTCCTGTGCTGATGAGCGGCTCAGGAAATGCTGGATGAGGGGAGATATTCTTCCCTTCCCTCCACCCCTGGGCCCTGAAGAGCCACTGCCACCACCCCGGCGTCGGAGGTGACAGAAGAAGCCACAGCGCACCCACAGGAGCCTGAATTTCCCCATCCGGGGAGCCCCCGGGGTTGGGCAGCCCAGCACGAGGAGCTTCAAACGCTCCACGGCTGCGGAGAAGCTCCCAGGAGGGGACAAACATCCGCCCCAGCCGCATCCTCCCTGCTCTGGGGCTGCCGTGGGGCAGGGCAGGGATGAGGATCCGGGCTGGGAACGGGGCAGGGATGAGGATCCGGGCTGGGAACGGGGCAGGGATGAGGATCCGGGCTGGGATGAGGATCCGGGCTGGGAACAGGGCAGGGATGAGGATCCGGGCTGGAGGAAGGGCTGGGAGGTGTGTGGAGGTGCTGGAAGCGTCACACAGCAGCCGCTGGCTCGGTGCCGGCAGCAGCATCCCCATCCCAAATTTCCCTGAAGCCGAGAGGGAATTTGGCAGCTCTTTGGGGTTCATCAGCGCTGGGAATCCGTCATCGGTCCCTGCTGGCTGCTCTTCCATGGTGACATCCTGGTTCGCTCCAGGCTCTGCCCCAGGAGCAGCTCTCCCCGAGGATCGTGGCGCTCCCAGTCACCCGAACTGGTCAAACTGGAGGCGGGACCGTGTTCCCTCGGCGTTGGGGAGCGCTCAGATCCGCGGTGCAGGGCTGGAACTGGGAATGGCCCCCGGCACAGGGGCATCTCCATGTCCAGGGCAGAGAAAAGCCTCTGCTTTTCCATGCAAACAGGTCCTGGGACAGGAGCCACCGTCCCGTGTGACCCGCAGGCACTGTCCCCTCCCCGGAGTGCCGCGGCAGAGGTGAGGCACAGCCCCAGCCCTGTCCCCAGGGCGACACCCAAGGCTCCTGGCACTGTCCCATCTGCAGGAAGAGCTTTGCAGAGCCCTTGATTTGCCCGCAGGAGCTGCGGTGGCAGGAGTGGGAGGGCGCTGCACCCTGATGGGCTGGAAGGACCCAAACCAAGCGGTGGCTCCTGGCACAGGGACATTTGTGGCCCAGTCCCCTCAATAAAAGCGTCTGATCCCCCTCTCTGCAACTCCCCGCACTCAGCCTCCTGTTGCTTTAAATTGTTTAATATCAAATTCATGAAGAGGGGCGGGGCTAACACCGGCTAAAACTATCATTAAACACGGATTATTTCCCCCCCGCGCTTCGGGCACCGACAGCCACGGACCATCCCTCAACCACCGCGTGCTGCTCCTGGCCTTGCACATCATCCCAAAAGCTCCCGGAGGGGCCGCTCCGGCCGCAGGATCCCGCTGGGATTCCCAGCCCCGCTCCAGGCTCAGCTCTCGGCAGCGGGAGAAGCTCCCGGGAAGCAGCGCGGGGGTTTGGGAGTGGGAGCGGGCGAGGTTTGGGAGCCGCTGCAGTGACAGAGAGGAGGTGGCAGAGCTGGGAGGGAGCTGCTGTTCTCTCGCTGCTTCCCGGGGCTCCGGCAGCTCCTCGGGGCTGGTTCTCCACCCCCGGATCCCTCCGGATCCCCCCGGGTCCCCCCGGGTCCCCCCGGGTCCCCCCAGGCCCTCAGCGGGCGCTGGCGAAGCCGATGCGGTTGTGGCGCCGGTCGAATTTGGTGTAGTAGTGACCGATGAAGGTGGCGCCCAGGATCCAGAGGGGACCGGCCGGAGGGGGAATGTCCAGCCCGGAGAAAGCCACCACGCACACGTCCTCCCCGTACTGGGATTGCTGCCAGGAGGGGAGCCGCGGGGTGATGGAGGAGGATCCCGGTGTCACCGGGCTCCAGCTCCACACCCGCCGCGTTCCCTCCTCGGGAATCACGGAATATCCCCAACGAGGATCACCGGATCCTTTCCCTGCGCAGACCACCCCAAAAATCCCACCCTGTGCCTGGGGGTGTTGTCCAAACCCTCTGTGAACTCTTGGCTGGCGCTGTCCCAGCGTCCACCCACCCTCGGGGTGCGAAGCCTTTCCCGATATCCAAATTCCAGCAAAAACCATCCCTGCCTGTCCCTGCTCACCCCAAATCCCCCCCAGACCACCCCGGGAAGCAGGGACAGCTCGGCCTGCCTCACCTGGACACCTCCACCCAACAAAAGGCTTTGAGGGGGAAACAAGGAGCGTCATTTTGGGGCAGATTCTGGCTGATTTGGGGGATCCAGGACACTCACCCGCAGGACGTAGGCCGGGCCGCTGAGGCCGTAAACCTTCCCTCCCATGTGGAAGGAGATGTTGGGCAGCTGAGGCACCTGCTCGCAGTCCACCACGTACTGCAGGGGCAGGGGACAGCGCTGGGACGGGGCCAGGTGGCCCGTGGGGACACGGGGTGGGGCTGGCGGTCACTCACCTCTCCCTCGGCCACCTCGGTGGCCCCGATGGCTTTCATGAGCACGGACACGGGGCCGGCGGGGCCGGTGATGTAGGAGGCCCCCGTGTCCACGGCCACCGAGCAGCCCTCCCTGCAGAACAGGATCTCGGCTCCTACGGACACCCTGGAGCAGGAGAGAGGGTCCTGAGTGTCCCCTGGTGACACTGGGAATGTCACATCCATCCTGAGTGTCCCCTGGTGTCACCAGGAATGTCACATCCATCCCGAGTGTCCCCTGGTGTCACCAGGAGTGTCACATCCATCCCAAGTGTCCCCCGGTGTCACCAAGGGTGTTCCTGGGAATGTCACATCCATCCCAAGTGTCCCCTGGTGTCACCAGGAATGTCACATCCATCCCGAGTGTCCCCTGGTGTCACCAAGGGTGCCCCTGGGAGTGTCACATCCATCCCGAATGTCCCCTGGTGTCACCAGGAATGCCACAACCATCCTGAGTGTCCCCTGGTGTCACCAGGAGTGTCACATCCATCTCAAGTGTCCCCTGGTGTCACCAGGAGTGTCACATCCATCCCGAGTGTCCCCTGGTGTCACCAAGGGTGCCCCTGGGAGTGTCACATCCATCCCGAGTGTCCCCTGGTGTCACCAGGAATGCCACAACCATCCTGAGTGTCCCCTGGTGTCACCAGGAGTGTCACATCCATCTCGAGTGTCCCCTGGTGTCAGCATGAGTGTCACAACCATCCTGAGTGTCCCCTGGTGTCACCAGGAATTCCACATCCATCCCGAGTGTCCCCTGGTGTCACCAGGAATGCCACATCCATCCCGAGTGTCCCCTGGTGTCACCAGGAATGCCACATCCATCCCCAACCAGGCGTGTGCTGCTCCCGGCTTTTCCAATGTGGGATTTAAGCTCCATCATGCGCAGGGTTTATTTTTTGGGGGGATTTTTTTGGGGTTAAACAAAGCGGGATTGTTCCAGCGCCTCCCGCTCCTCCCGCGGGACTGACGGGGGTGAGACTCATCCAACTGCAGCTCCCAAGTGGAAAATCAGCCCACGGTGCCACCCCCTCTGCATTCCCAGCTGCTCCTGGCTGAGCCGGGAGGAGCTGGAGGAGCCCACCCCGCTCCTCCCCAGATGGGGGCAAAGCATCCGGCAGCAACGCCGAGGGAAAACATCCCTGAAATCCCTGAAATCCCTGAAATCCCTGAAATCCCCGAAATCCCCGAAATCCCTGAAATCCCTGAAATCCCACCCCCACGGAGCCGCGGGGTGCAGCCAGCGCTGGGCTAATGTTGGATTTGATGGCCCCAAAGGCTTTTCCCACCTAAATAAATAAAGCCGTGGTTTGTGATTGCCATCCCCGGGCTCTCCCCGGCCTCACCCCTTCATGCTGATCTGCCAGAAGCCGCTCCTGCTGACGTTCAGGTAGTGGAAGTCGCCGGTGTAATAGGCGGGGTCGCTGCCTCCCAGGATGATTTCCCCGCCGGGTTTCAGGGGAGAATTCCTGGCGTGCCAAACACAGCGGGAGCGATTCCACTTTCCCCACAATTCCCAGCCAGACAGAGCCATTCTCCTTTCCCCAAAATTCCCAGCCCAGAAGCAAACGATTCTCCTTTCCCCAAAAATCCCAGCCAGACCGAGCAATTCCCCGTTCTCCAAAATTCCCAGCCCGCCAGGGAACGATTCCCCTTTCCCCAAAATTCCCATCCAGACAGAGCCATTCTCCTTTTCCCAAAAATCCCAGCCTGGCAGGAAGTGATTCCCCGTTCCCCAAAAATCCCAGCCAGCCAGAGCGATTCCCCTTTCCCCAAAATTCCCAACCCGGAGGAAAGCGATTCCACTTTCCCCACAATTCCCAGCCAGACAGAGCCATTCCACTTTCCCCAAAATTCCCAACCCGGCAGGAAGCCATTCTCCTTCCCCCAAAATTCCCAGCCAGCCAGAGCGATTCCCCTTTCCCCAAAATTCCCAGCCCAGAGGGGAGCGATTCTCCTTTCCCCAAAATTCCCATCCAGACAGAATGATTCCCCTTTCCCCAAAATTTCCAGCCTGGCAGGAAGCGATTCCCCTTTCCCCAAAATTCCCAGCCCCGGAGGGAGCAGCCCCAGCCACGAGGCTCTGCTGGCCCTGCGGGGACAGGAGGTGACAGCTGCTCCAGGTGGGTGCGGTGGCCCCTAAGGGGGTCAGGAACGCGGCAGGACCCGGGAAGGACATCCCGGGGCTGGCAGGGGGCTCAGGGGACCCGGGGGACACGGGGGGCTGGCAGCGGGTGGCCTCGAGGGCGCTCCTGCTTTGGATCTTCTTACTTGGAAGCGCTGCAAAGAGAGGGAGGCTCCGTGAGGCTCCAGGTGGCCCCAGGGGACACAGGTGACACCCAGAGGCGCAGGGGACGCCAGTGGCACCGCGCTGCCCCGGGATCCAACAGCACCGAGTGGGATTTTGGGGTGTGTTTGGGGTCTCTCCGTCACTGCACGGCTCTGGGTCGATGTTTTTGGGGCCGGTGGGGAGTGCTGGGGTGTGGAGCAGAATTCCTGCTCCCACTGCTCCAGTGCGTTTGGGGACACTGGGAGGAGCTCAGCAGTTTGGGGGAAGAAATAGAAGATTTGTCTGCTGGTGCAGGGGGTTTTAGATAGATTTTTTTTTGGGTTTGATTTTTAAAAAATGTTGCCTGTAGAAACACCAAAGCCCCTCCAGGCTGGGATGGCTGCAGCCCCTCTCACCGAGCTGGTGGCTGTGCAGCGACAGTGACAAACCGGAGCAGCCACCACTCCCTGCCCGGCAGCTCCGGATCTGCGTCCACCCCTCTCTGTCTCTTGTGGTGCCTCATTCTCCCCCAGCTCCACCAGAATCCCCAACTCCTTCCCAGCCCAGCTCCTCCACGTTCCCAAACCTCCTCCCTCTCCAGCTCTTCCAGGATCCTCCATTCCTTCCTTCCCCAGCTCCTCCAGGACCCTCCTTTCCTTCCTACTCCAGCTTTTCCAGGATCTGCCATTCCTTCCCATCCCACCTCCCCCAGGATCCCTGATTCCTTCCCTGTCCAGCTCCTTCAGGATCCCAAACTCCCTCGTCTGCAGCTCCCCAGGATCCTCCACTCTTTCCCACCCCAGCTCCCCCAAGGTCCCCCATTCCTCCCCTG